ATAGCACTGTAAGAGCTATTAGCCTGAACACCGGTTGTTTGTCACAGCCAGAATTATAAGCCCTTTAACACCTCTTTCAAGAAAGCACTTCTGAGTAGTTATAGCATTATTTAAAGACTTCACAAATAGGCATTAAATTCTTGAGGAGGCAAGTCTTCTGCTAGGTCAGTGAAGAAGTTGCAGGACCAGTGACAGGACCCAACAAGGGTCTTCATAACAACACCCTCACACTCAGTACTGCTGCAGTTCATCACAGCCAACAGAGAAGAGAGAGGTTTACTCAGAGCACTGTGAAATATAATGCCTTCTCTAAGCCTCTATTAAAAACTAAGGGAAAGTTCTCATCTATAATTTTTTCACCAGTACCTCACTCATCAAACCAATGTGAAACTCACCTCCCCCAGCAAGTCCAAAAGGTGCCACAGCCTTTACTGCTGCCTTCTATAGCCCCTCAATTTGTTAAGGCAGACTCAGGTGGGCTCCAAGTAATTTGCTGCTTCTCCATATAAAGAGGAGTTCAAGCACCATCCCTAAATTCTACTTTAGAAAAAGAAAAGGGGAGGGGAAGGAAGGGAAAGGAAAAGCTGCACTATTTTTAAGTTTCTAGGGAAAAGAGGGTCAAACACTGTTAGAAGTGAGATACTTCTGTGTTTGAACTCAGAGAAGTGGTGTTTTTAGGTTAAGTGCGCAAGCACAAGGACTTCTTTTTTTTTTCTTTTTGTCTTACACCTGCAAGGGTAAGAACAGAGGAAAAAAAATGAGCAAAAACAAGTTACAGAGCAATTATGTAGCTAAGTCAGGGCTCTGCAGAAATCCTACAACTCATAATGCGATGCTTCATTTAGTGCCACCGTGTAAGGAAGGGTAGTGAATGAGCACATTTGGAAGTGATAAGACAGATTTAAGCGCAGGATTCAATGGTGCAGGTAGATTCCCAGTAATTTCTGAGTTGTGCTGCTGGATTTCCTATGTGGGGGTTTGTGCTACTGGAAACTGCAGCTGAAGCACGTTTAAAGCAATGTGAAAGCAGGACAGGCTCAGCTTCTTCATACGGGGATTTTTAGCGGGAACTATTTCTTGTGGCTTTCTCAGGCTTTTCTCAGTGAAAAGAAAAAAAAAAAAAGCTGAAACTTAAATCTAGAGGAAAAAAAGGTTAAAGGGGCAGCATGCAGCTATGTGGTGCATAATGCTGCTCTAACCAGAGCTGCTCTTATTGTTCCTGGCAGCTCCTGGGATGCCATCGAAGGCTTCCTGGGATGGAGAGCTTGTCTTTCATGCTGCAGCCACTTGCAGAGTCTCATTCTCCTACTTGAAGTGCTTTTTCCTTATATCAAACATAAATCTTGCCCTCCCCCCAGTGGATATGTGCAGGTCATTTGCTTGCTCTCTTCCATTCATCACCTTTTTTGGTACAAGGACAGATGCTGTCCCAGCACATTTTCTCATTGTGAGGTGCTCTTCTGGGGCTCTGATGCTAAAGAAATGAAGGAGAGGAAATTAGATGAGTTTATCTCCTATCTATTGCCAAAGTTTGGACTAGTAAGTGTAAATCTCATACAAATTTGCAGTCAGAAAACAAAGACTATGTTGTCTTAAAGTCTGTTTTAATCTTCCTATGCCAAACAGAAGAGATTTTGAGGGTGTAGATACTTCTCATCTAATGTTTTCCGTAATCTTTCTGTTACAGAAGGCTCCCGGTCTCCATTTACAGCTCCTTGTATACACTCTCAACAGGTTCATCTGCTTCCCCTATTTCTGGCCCTGCCCCAAGGACAGGTAAGGTTATTTTGGCAAATTGGTTTATTGTTACCTTGTACCATGGGGGCTTCATCTTCCACAGGGATCCTGGGCTGAGACCTGCAGGAGAGCTAACGTTTCTTAATAAAACACACTGGGATTTATGGCAGCTGAGGCAGCTTTGTCAATTCTGTGTAATACTGTTCACTGAAGGATTTGGAAAAAATATTCTGACGGATCCCTGATGACTTCAAAGCATAGAAAGCAAAGTGCCAATTTAGGGAAATAATTGGAAAAATAAATACAAAATTAAGTCTTTTTCCTTTTCATTGAGATTTCAGCACTTAACCCCCCTACTTTTTTCTCTTCAAAAGAGAACTTGAGAAGCTTTTTTCAAAGTTTAGTTCTCCAAACCACATATTGCTGGTAAAAAAGGGATTTAAATTCAGTTCCTATAAGTCAGTCCCTGGCAAGCTGCCTGTATGTTGATGAGCAGATCTCAAATATTTGTGCTTTGGATTTGGCTCATTAAACTTCTCTAAACAGGGATACTTGTCCCAGCCCTTGAAGTTGGAAAAAAATGATGGATGCATTCAAAAGGTGGCGGTATGAATGTCTTTGTACATTAAGCTTTTTAGATATTGCAACTGTTTTCTCCAAAGGACTCAGAAGGTTGAGACTTCTAGTTCTTTGATGCTATAAATGACTAATTTGAATAATGTAGGCAACTCAATGACCTTTTTTTATTATTTGAAAGGTTATTCTGCACCTGAAAGCAATATGGCTTTAATGATTTACCTGCCTATGCCACTCACATATCAGTCATGACCATTTTGAATGTGTCTTATTGCTTCAATAATCAGACTGTCTCTAGGTGTTATGGAGCTATGTGTATATAGTGGTATAGATGGATGGATTTTTGCTTGCATCCTGGTAGAAAGTAACTTTTCCAAAATCAGCGCACATCGAACATAAACACATTCTGGGTGTGTTTTTTCCAGCGCAGGGTTAAGCGCCGTCAATAACTCCAGCTGGGCATGACATTTTAAGAGGGATGCATCTTTTTTTTTTTTTTCTTTTTAATTATAGTCGATGCAGCGAACTGTGGACAGGAGTGAGCCGAAGCTGCGGTGAAACTGCTCGATATGTGAGGAATGTCAGACAGCCCCACGACTGCATCAGCCTCAGCGAATAATCCCTCCTCCACCACAGGCATCTCGTGTGGCCCTTCGCCAGTGGTACCCCACACCCGGGGCATGGCTTTCTGCAGCTGCCAAATCTAGGTCTGGGTTGGGAACGGTTCCAAACTAGGGACAAAGGGAGGGGCAAAAAAGATTTTGAGCTCTCAAATGCGGTACGTGGCTGGGAAAAACAGTCTGCAAATGCCTTCACTGAGTCCGGCGCGGTGGAAAGGTTTCTGCTTGCACACGTGTTTGCTCAGGGCTGGCGTCTCCCCGTTAGTGCTCTCAGTACTAAGTGGCGTGCCGCAAATAAGCAATGCGGCCATTAGGGCTTTTACCATCACCCTAATGGAAACAGCTGATTAGGAAGCTTTTTTAGAAGGAGGGTGGGAAGGAAATGCTGTGCGATGGCCTGACCTAAGCCGATGGGATAGCTGATGGCGGGTCAGTGGAGGATCTGCATAAAATGCCCTTGGGAGTGTTTTTTAAAGCTATGCAAGTTTCCCACTTTTCCTTTTCAGGGTTGCAGGCTGTGACGGAAGCAGGGACAGACATAATGTTTCAAGGCTTGTAGATCCATTTCCATCATGCACTTACTTCGCAGATAGGCTGCTTAAAAGTTCCTATCTTCGCAAAGATTGCGAGAACTCCAGGATTTGGCATTTATCTTACAGCAAGGCGTCATTAACTTCTTTGTCTCCCCATCCTGATGCTTGATGATGGCTGTTTACTGGCCTGCAAGGAGAGGAGTTGGTGCCAGTCTAGTTTCTGGAGTCCTTTGCTGTTAAAGTAACTAAAATTGCCACCTGGGACTCTTATATGGCACTACACATTCAGTCTAGTGCTTTTAGCCCTGTACTGTGAAAAGGCGTATGGGCATAAGATAAACAAAACCAGGGTACTCAAAGCAAGTATACTCAAAGCAATATCTTTATTTCAGCTACTTTTCCAAACAGCTGTGGACAGGCGAGGTGCAGCAGCGAAGCAGTTTGCCTAGCAAGAACGTTTTACGTGGCCTTCATAGAAATGGCTCGGGATGCAAACGAGAGACTGGGGGAACGGGCAAGGAGGAACTGGGGAAAACGATGTTTCTTGCTGCTGCGTGTACCTTCCCACTCTTGTGTCACTAATTTCTTAGCAAAAAAAAAGAAACCAAATCTCCTAAAATATCACTGCTTGCAGTAAAGCACCTTTTTTTCTTTCCAAGTTTTCTTCTCTGCTCTCCAGAAATGAGGGTGCTATAAGATGGTAGTTTTCAGACATGAAAACGGCAATGAGCACCCTGAAATTGGATCCTAAGGCAGGGCCTACCATTTTCCTTAAAATGGGAAACACACACACTCCCAGCCATGTTGGATGTTCTGGTGTGAGAAGTGTTGCTAGCAGTACAGAAGTCCAGCAAAGTCACAGCGTGTGGTTACGGCTGTACACAAAACGATGTACCTCTGAAAAAGCTTTGCCAGATCGATCTGCTGCTATTTATCTAATTCAAGCATTACGCTTTCAGAATGTAACATTACATGAAATGGAACAAAAACACAATTTAGGGTAAATGTACTGTGCAAAATATTGTTCTTAACACTGGTGTGTTCTTGCCTACCTGAGTGGAGCAGACCTGGTGCAGGTGCTGGCACGTGTGGGCTTCTATTAGCAATACTCCACGCTGCAAAGATACCCAAGTATTGCTGTAGGAGTAATGACATTCCTTAACTAGCACCCAAATAATCTGAAGATGACCCTCAGATATAATTAAAATGTCTTCTCTAAAGCAGAGCAAAGAGGATAGGTTTTTGCTACCAATTTGGCAAACTCTTCAGGGATATTACTGAGGATCTATACAGGGCTGATTGGGGCATTCTCCAGGGGCACATAAGGGCTGAAGCCTTCTCAGTACTCGTGTAGCTTGCATCACCTTGAAGCACACTCACCTCCATCCACCCAGGTGTCCTTGGCATGGACAGACAACCCTTTCAGCAGGCCAGGAGGCCTGTCGTCCTTCCTAGTGGAATTAGACATATGCATTTCTAAGAGGGAAGACACTAATGTATCTACCAAAGCTTTGGGCCTAAAGCTGATGAATGGCTACTCTACGGCTGGCTTGATTAAATGGCCATTGAAGATGATGTAAACATCAGACTCCTCACTATAGATGGCATTTTCTCGCTCCCGCTTGAACATCCTCACCCAGACCTCCTCTCCTTCCTGCAGGTCCAGCATCAGGCTCTGGCTCTGCATGATGCTCCGGTCACTGGGCTGGGCGTAGAGGATGGCCACCTCCTTCTCGTTCTTCATCAAGTGCAGGTAGGTCTCCTTGAAGTTCCAGGTGTGGACATTGAGGCTGAAGTAGTAGATTCCTGCCACATAGCAGAAGAACTTCCCCGAGAACATGTTGAAGTGCTTGTAGAGATTCACGAACTCGGTGTCAAAAGTGACGTGCTGGAAGTAGTCTGAGCTATGAAGGGGTTTTCTCCGACCCACCGAGAACGCAGCGTACAGCTGTTTGCAGGAATGGCCTTGCGGGCCAGGCTGGCCTTTCTGTCCCTTCCGTCCATTAAAGCCACGCAGCCCTCTTTCTCCTTCCTTCCCAACTGCTCCAGGGTATCCTTTCTCTCCCATTTCACCCTTCTCACCTGCAAGAGTAGAGGAAAACCTTGTCAAACACCAGCCCAAGCTGCAGACACATCCTTGCTGGAGACAACCAGCAAAGCAGCTGCTAAAACACTGTTTTCCCAGCACAGATATCTGGATATCAGACCCCAACACCCTCCTAATTCTCAGAGGGACAAAAAAGTCCGCTGAGAGCTTGTCCCCACTAAGCTTGTGGTGCCAATGTTCAACACTGAAACTCCATGACCTCCCCAATCGGCTACACGCACCCAGTATTCATGAACCCAGCCCCTTCATGCAGAGGTTAGGGCAAGAAAAGTTATTGTTTTTGCTGAGGTCTGATTTGGGCCTGGGAGAGGTGGTTGGGTTCATCTGGTCTGCATAACCCCACTCGCGGGACTCCCTGACACATCTCCTGTAATACATGCTTAATTTTTGTTTGCCTGCCTTTCTGAGACAAAAAATGTGGAATGGACAAAGTGAGTGAGTGTCTTTCCTAGTTTGTAACTCTACTGTTTAGTAATTCTGTGATAACATTTGCATCTGGTTTTTAGTGTGACATAACTGGGGCTTCCGGTGATTCTGTTTTTTGATGGATTAGAGCCTTTTGCCAATTCTCCTCCCTCGCACATGTTTACAGCCTGTGCCATGTCACCTCTTGCCCTCCTTTTTGGGTAAATAAAGTGGATGAGTTTCTTGGTGTAGGGAGGAGCACACCTTGCAAAATGAGGGTGAGCGAGTAAGATAGAGGATGTTATCACGGTAGTCAGCTTTACCCACCTTTGAGGATGGTGATATCTATAGTGGGCTGGACTTTAGGTACTGAATAGGCAGGGTCACTGCTCATCCTTGTGTATCGCGAGGAGATGATGGAGACGGGCTGCTCTGAAGGCCCACAGCATCGCACGCAGGAGAGGCGCCGTGGTTCCCGTCTCGGCAGACCCTTTTCCAGCGTGGCACTGACGTTTGCAGTGGACACCAAGAGCAGAAGAAACATCTTCATCTTGCTCATCTTCACCGGAGCCAGCTGGACCAAGCAGAGGAACAGAAATGATTAACACGGTGATTCAAATCAGAGCTTCTGATGGACCATCTGTTAATGTTACCGCAAGGTGCATTTCTTCTGATTAATTATTAGCTTATCTTGTAGTGGCACCGGGGGACTCCCGGTAGGAAGGGTGCCCCACTGTGAACTGTTTACAAGCAATGGAAAAGGCAATCCCTGTCTCTCATTACCTACAGTTGAAATATCTTGACAAGAGACACCAGGTAAACAAAAGAGAAAAAAAAAAACCACCAACAAACAAAACCTGCTGAGATCGGAAGCTAAGGCTGAAATGCTCAAAGCTGTGATAGCGAGCTCTGCTCAAGGCACACTCGCTGCCTGGCTGCTGTTGGAACAGCCCTTGCAGGAGGTGCTGGGTAAAAGACACGGAGCATTGCTCAGCTGGTTACCATTTCTTGCATTGACATTCTGAAATCAATTCAAAATCAGATGCAGAAAATTAAACTTTATTTAAATATAGAGCCTAAACCTGACTTTTTTTTTTTTTTTTGAGGAAAAACCTGAAGGGAAATGAAACTAAAAGAAATCAAAAGCGTTTGTCTCTCTAGATAGTCTCTCTTAGCCTCTTGCTGGTAACCTCTTTCCAAGGTGACCTAGCCAAGCAGTTTGGGGCTTTGACCATATCCACGTGCTGTTCCTAGCAGAATTTCTGTGTACGCTTTCCATTTTTCTTTTCCGATGTGCCAAATGGAAAACCAAATAGCTGCAACAAACAGACTGAACTGGGGTTTGCTCTGCACAAACACCGGTTTTTGAGATCATCTATGACACTTTCATTTGCCACTGGTGAGCTCCAAAGGCCCTGAACACCGGGTGAAATGAACAGAGAGAAAAAGTTTCAGGTGGTGCAAAGGAGGTGAGTTTTCCCTCGCTCCCCATCGGCCTCCTTCCTCGCAGGGATTGGAGCCGGGGACAGGCAACTGCCGCCTCATACCATATGCAATTAGTGTCATTCTACCGATTGCAGTGGCGTTTTGTACAAGACAGGTTTTGGACTGGTGCCTTTTTGGATCTTATCCAAAGTCCAATTAGTTGGACGGACTCTTGCTGACCTCAGGCTGGGAACAGCTTTCACAGCTCCTCTTCTACCAGCTTCAATTCCTGGAATAGTTTGGGAAGGTAGTAGCGAGGCGGCTTTCAGAAATAGCTCAGTCAACACACAGGTCCCATCTGCAGAGGGAGGGAGGGAATCTGCCTTGGAGCTCTGCTAAAGCTTCACTGGGCACAAAATGGACCAGTTGAGAAAATATGAAAAAAAAAAAAAAAAAGGTGTCGGTACAGGGCAAGGTACTTGGATTGTACTGGTATTCTTGCGAGATGCTTTCTCCCAGGTCTTACCTGCCCCAAAAGAACTGTCATTCACACCTTTTATTACTTGATGTAATCCAGCTCCCTGGAAACCCGATGAATACTTATTAGCAGTAGCATAATAACTTTCCTTTTGATAGCAGTGAAAGTTCTTTCGTCAAATCTGTCATAACTTGAAACGATCTTTCTGTTCGTAATTGTACCTCGTTCTAGGTACAAGTCTGAGGAGGGATTAATACTCCTTTTATATCAGTGTTCAGGGCCTGAATTTCATTTTCATTAAGTCCTTTTTAATTTCCATTCACTTCTTAAGCCGTCTTTGTGCTGCCAAACAGGAACAGAAAAGCAATGCAAGTCGAAATGGACAGCAGGTCATAAATAACCAGCCCGTACGTGACCAGAAGAGAAAGTATGCACCGTGGAGAGCATTTGGGGTCCACGTAATGTTTCTGGGGTCTCCTCTGCGTGATTGAAGTTCATGCATATAGATAATGGTCTAAAGAGGACCCCATGGGCACTCAGAGTCTGAGGTAGTCAGGGCCAACGGATCCTTTGTGGGACTAAAATCTATTTAGCCCTTCTCAGGAGTGTGCGTAGTCAATAACCTGGGGATAAAGTATAGGCCATTGGATTACATTATCAGAACATTAAAACCGGAGGACATAATTGCTCATAATACCTTCATGAAGGAGAAAGAGCATTCATTAAGAGGGGTATTCATAATGGGCGGAAGGGAAAGGCTTCATAAATATGAAGAAATTACTTTACATTTTTATAGGCCATTATTCTCCCTAAGATGAATGACTTTCCTATTTTTAGAAGTGACTTAAGGAAAAAAAAAAAAAAGTCTGGGTGAAAAATCAGTGTTCAGGTTGTGCACATTTTACATTACTGTAATCCAAGCACCTGCTGAAGAAATCGTGGCCACTTGCATGATTCATGAAGAATAATTACTCAAGTTATTGGCTAGAAATTGCATTTGGGAAAAAAAATGAAGCAAACGATTCAACAATCCAGTCAGTTCAGGGCATCCTAGAGCTGATACCACCACACCACATTTTCCTTCAAAACGTTAGTGAAGTTAGTTTACTAAAGTGGTAGAAACATGTATTTGGTTGCAATATCTGTGGTTAGGTGAAACATTAATGATATAAGTGAATAAAAAGAGTTTCAGATT